ATTTTGTATAAGAAATTAACAAAGTATTTATTTTCAGATGATAGCTGAATGTGAAAATGAACAAATAATGCTTATGTGGTCTACAGCGAATCAACTTCTTGAAATTCGTAATAATGATAATGATAAAACTCGTCTTGAAGAATTTAAAAGACGATTTAATGAAGCTAGACACCAAAAAGTACCTCTTTCATCTATGAATACTTCGAAAAAGAATAGAAGAAGTCGTACTTCAAGTCAAAAAGTTTCTCCACAGGTTATATATTTTTTCTTTCTTTTGCGTTTTATTATTCATTTTCTTTTTTAGATAGCTTATTCTCCATTAACAACTTGTGAAGAATTACACATTATTGATTCTATTTATCGATTATCACAATGTACATATGCTGAAGCAAAGCGTATTGCCGAAGATACTTATATGAAAATTACTTACACGAATAATCGTGAAAATATTCAATCATGTTCGATGGGAATCGTATCTGATCAATGGTTCCTCACATTTGCTATTCGGAAAATTGATTATCTTCGACAGTATTCAACTATTTGGTTACCAGATCTTGAAGCAATGATAGATATTGTTGAGAATGAAAATGAATTACATTCGTTAATTTCATTGATGAAGAAATCAGTCTAATGTGTGTTGTTTTTTCATTCGTTATTTATGTCATTTGTTTGTGCTCTTGTTATTGACTATCTCAGGCTTGTGTTTTCTTCTCTATTCACTTTGTGATGTATAAAATAACTAGAAGGCAATAGTAAATTTCATTGATCTTCTTTTTAATAGAAATCATGCTGGACAAATAACAAAAAACTAAAACGATAGTCAGTAGATTATGTAACATCATTTAAAACACAGAACACGAATAATGCTAATTTCTATTCCAGGAAATTTGAACAAAAATTGCAATTTTAAGTGTGTCGTTCATCATCTATCATGAAAAACAAGAATCTATGAAGTGAATCCGGATTGGAACTAATTGGTCTTCAACAAATACTTTCGCACTCACAGTACGGTTTTCACACTTTTATTTTATATGAAAAAATATACTATTTAGTTTCTTCCACAAACAGTAACAAAAAAAAAGAAGAAATCATCTCAAATTCCACAAAAAAGAGGTAGAGATTCAGAATTCAATTGAAGTGTTTCTACTTCTACAATCTGATCAATTTCTCTAACTATACGTTTGCTTATTGTTGATAACGCTGAATGGAATGCAGTGTTGGTGCTAAACGTCATAATTGTGGATACATACATGGAGGTTTTTTCCGTCATGATAATACATGTTCATCTTTTTGATAATTCATTTTCTTCTTCAGGTATTCAGTTATTTTGTCATATGGTTCACCATCATCTACAGACAAAATTTCTATTAAAAACGAATTCTTTGAGTAAAACAATATCGCTTTCCACTTCTGTAACCTGTTTTCAAGTACAATAAATTGCTCAATCATGATCGAACCAGTTTTCACTCCTATGTTTTTATATAGATTAGCAGTTTGAAAAAGTAAAAATATTTTGAAAGATCAAGATCTCATTAATTGTCGGGCCTGGTGCTGGGTATCCGATCGAGTTGTAGGACATTCGGTTTCACCGATGAAACAATATCTACTATGTCTGTCTTTCTCTTAGATTTTGTTTTTAGAAAAGTCGAAAAGTATCTTTTCTTATGCTGTCATATACTATCAAGATCAAATGACAGTGTTAGTTCAATTTATTTTGCTGAAATCAAAAACCGAGTTCATGTTTACTAGAACATTAAATGTACAAAAGAACTTTGTCTGATTGATAAATTGAATGTTTCATTATCAATTGATATTGACGAGGTCTCACGTTCATAAGATGAATGAAGTGCATAGTATATTCACTGAATGTTAAAAGTTATCAATTCAAAACAAAAATATTTGAAATTAAGAGCGATAGAAGAAACATTTCATTGATTAAGCAGAACAAAAAAAGCATTCATCATGTAACTTTATTTTCTCATTGGTGTATTTAGTGTTCTTACAACAAAAGTGAAATTTCAAAAATGATTATTCATATTTTCATTTTTATTTTTTGCTAAAAATAGAAAAGTACTGCAAACCATGATATCATTCGGTACGACTGAATGAAATTTGCCTTTTCCAAAAGAACCGAATACTTCTTGAAGAGTGGGTGTGGGTGTGGGTGTATGTCTTGAATGTAAACTCCGGAACCTACAACTACACTCACACCCTTACAAAAGTTATTTGATTTTGCTCCATACTTGTATCCATTGACTCTCTCTTCATTCCACTTGTAGAACAATTTGTACAATCTAAATTAACAAATATATCTATTTGACAATTTGACATCTCAAGTTATTCATTCTCTTTTCGAAGTTATGACAGCTTGAAATGTGGTCTGTTGGTTAATTCGTCACTTGTGGGTCGATAAGTTCTGTTGATGCAGTAAAAAATAAAACTGATGTACGTGAGTCTATTAGTACAGTGTCCAACCTTCTAATATTGATTTGCCAATGTGACGCTGATAAGTAAAATTCCCAAGGATCAAATGTTTTAATTTTCAACCTCGAGTTTATTGATAATGTCAAACCTAAATATACCTTCATCTGTTTGTGTAATAGTACATTAAAGCAAAAAATTCTCTTGTATTAATGTTATATAAAGATATTTATATGATATTCAGCGAAGTTTTGATGAGTTGGACGTTGTCATAATGACGTTCGACATCTTGAACGCTAGTCGATAATCTTTTTCTTCTCATACCATTAATAAGTACTGTTAGAAAATTGAGCATTTGACTAGTTATTTTTAGAAAAGATATGAAACATTGTTTTGAAGCTAAACTATTGTGCCAAACTGTTGTTGATGGAGATTGTTCGATTTCAGTTCGAATAATCTGAACTGATTGATGTATGACATATCCAAAATTTGTCACTTATTATGACTTCATGCATTCCCTGTATTTCTCTTCAATATATGCTACGATTAGTAGACAAGAATGCAATTGTAATGAATAGAATTTGTTTTCAATAATGAATTTCCATAATTTAGAATATTCAAATCAACATAAATTGATTAGCTGCTTATTACTTAATGCAATGCTGTAGTTGTCCAGTACAAAAATTTGATTGAAATCTATTGAAGAATTGTAAGCAATTATGAAATATGTAAAGATATGTTGAAACATTCATGATATATGAAATTGATTTTTATTTTTTAAATTTATTTCAAAATATATATTTATGATTTCATTTAGTTAATAATTATCAAGAAACTTTCAAGATTATTTGAAAAGGTATACGAACAGAGCCAGTTATGTGATATCTATAATTATGATAGATTCTTCGAATGATTTATCTTATTCTGATCAAAAATACAAGATATCTATTTGTGTTATATTTAACTATGTCATACTTTTGAATTTTATGATAATTATACATGACATTTTACTGTTCATTGCATAGATAATAAAATATTTCTAGTTATTTTCCTTGTTACAATAGTATGTAGTTGATATAATATTAAAACAATAGATTATGTAAAGAAAAATAATGTATACGTAAGATTCATGAGTGATAGTAAATAAATGATAATATGTTTACATAAACATGACTAAATATGCGTAGAATAAAAGATTCGTATAGATAGACTAGTCAATACGATATAATAGTAAACTAATGACGCAGAACAAAGCATCAATGCGAAAAGAAAAATAATATGACGATTGTTTTTCTCTTCGAACAATACAAATATACATGAATGAATCAGAGAATAGATAAATACATTTGTTCGTTTAACTCTACATCATTTGGTGGGCAGTTTTTACATCATTGTTATTATTAAGTCAATCCACCATTTAACTACTAATCATAACTAGTAGTGATAAATTCTTCTCTTCCCTTTTGTCTTAATACAGACGTTGATTAAATATGGCTCGTTATTATAATATTCCGAACAAAGTTAATTTACCTCTTGTGTCACCTCCAAGAGATATTGATCCAGTTTTTATCTGTAAATCTAAACCATCTATTATTATTGAAAGTGAAAAGAAAACACCAAGATCAATAAAACATCGTCATCCAAATATAAGTACTTCAAAAGAAAATACACCTCCGAGGCGTATTGCTGCACATCAGAAATTTCGTAAACCATGTCAAACAATGGTTAAAGCGATTGTAACAAAACCAGGTTTGTTTGAAATATTTAGTCCATAATTAAAAATCTTTACTTTTTTTAATTTTATTTAGATCCTCGACTTATGTTTAATTTTATTGATGTTAATACGGATTCTCGTCTTAGTTACCTTGAATTTCGTTCTTGGATGCTTATGATTGATGCAACATTAGCTGAACATGAATTACTTCAAATATTTAATGAAATGGATCGAAATGGTATGACATATTTTCTTGTTTTATTTTTTAATTGATTATTCTTGTTCTAGGCGATGGTTTTATTCAATACAAAGAATTTCGAGATTATTTTGGTGATGATCTTTTAACAAGTGAAGCAAATGTTGCTGAATTAACCACATTATTTAATGAAATCAATACTGATCAATCGGAAACTATAACACTTGATCAACTTTTAGCATTTTTTAATCGATATTCAACGATGATAACAAAAGAAGAAGCACAACTTTTTCTTGGTATGGTTTCCGATGTTGGAAATGAGAATACTATTACACTTAAAGGTATTTATGAGAAAAAAAAACTTCAATAACTGAGAAATACATTTCATATTTTTTTCTAGAATTTTTAAAAGCAATGCGTGAATGGAAAGTATGAATGAAATATTTAAAAATTTTGTCAGTTGATAATTATAATTATTATTATTTTCTTAATGTAAATTTTTACTCGTTGTATTATCTTTTTTTTCTCTTTCACTTTATTTTTAATAAATATACTAAACACAAAAAGAAAACGACGACAATAAAAAACAAATTTTGATTTAAATCAGTTGAATAGAACAATAAAAAAAATAGGCTACATAGCAGTGTTACACTCAATTAGTTTATTAGGTCAATTATATCTTGAACAAATAGCTTTGATTAAACTCTTTTCATCATAACCTTCCGAACATCCATACCAAACACCATCATGCGTACACCAATCTTTTCCATTTAAATAGATTGTACAAGATTTTTTAGCTGATGCTGAACGTGTTTTTTCTAAATTTTTAATGGTAAAACCTTTAATATTGTTATTTGTTAAATATGAACTTAATCGTAAATAGATATTTTTTTTGGATACATAAATCTATTTATTTTCAGATAGTTATTATTATTATTATTAGTTTTTTTAAAGTATATATGATAGAATAGTTAAAATTAGGGATAACACTTTACCTTTACTTTACTAGTAACTACATAACTATTATAATTACTTTACTGTAGTTACTTAAATAAATGGTAAAATAAATGTGTCACCCCTATTTGTGAGAAGTCCAATTGAGCTAGCCGTTGAAAACTTTGAATAGATTTCTCCCGTAAAATTTTCAAATGTATTCTATTGATAAATAATAGATCACAAGTCAGTGCATTGTTCTTCTATCAATTTTTTCTCTATAGAATCATTTTGGTATAACATTAACAACATCGAATAACCAATAACCTACTTAATTAAAGATGATCATATTCTGATTATCTAGTTTTTCATTCTTAGATCATATAAGATTTGTTTTCAAAATTCATTCGTGAGATCTTTTTATATTTAACATCTCGAACAAGAGAATATTCATTTTCAAAAAAGAAGAAAAAAATTTTTTTCATCGTTTGCTTCTTTGAATCAATAAAAAAGGCGTGTAAGATCTGGTCCGCAGTTTATTCTTTTCGTTTCAATCACTAGCTTAAAATTAATAATCTTATTTGATGACATCAGAATCGATCAACAGTTACATATTAAAGTAAATCTTTTTTCTTACCACCATCAACATTTTTAATTTATTGGTTTTTATCAGTTTTTCTGTCTCCCTTGCCATTGATTAGTAAATAGGAATTCTAGCTTATTTTCTGTTCGACTTGTTGCATTTACCTTATAATATGTTTTATGTACCAAAGAAGCAAACTATCAACATCAATCTCGTCTTTGTATTAAAACAAAATAGTTAATATTAAAAAAAAAATAAAAATCATTGTGATAAATTATTATGTCAAATTTATTTTCTGATTGTAATTTCACAATATAACTTGATTTCGAAGTGGCTGGATAAAATGTATTGCTTATAATACTATTCATGATGTTATTTTAAAAACAATTAATGCATGTACCGTGACAAGATTGAATAAAATATGATTTAGAAATATTCAAATTAGAAAAGAACAAAAAAACATCTATTATAATTTCTTAGCCGAGACATAATATGCCAAATCTCAAAATAAAAACTATTATAAGAATGCTTATTAGCCGTTATCGATTGTATCTATGAGATCGACAAAAAATATTATTAAGAATAAACATGATTTTAATCATACACAGAAAATGATAATATTGTAAAAGATTATAAAATGAAATGATGTTGCTTAGTCAATTGTTTAAGTTTTGTTGATTTTTAGAGACGATTAGGTAAAATAAACAACTTTAAGAAAATTTTTGTCATGATGACAATCATTCTTGGATGTATAAAACTACATTCGAATAAATTCATATTCATATGTCTACTATGAACAAAACACATAAAGGTACGCCTCAAGATGTATATGTTATATATATGTATAGACTTTGCCATATTTAATCATTACGTGATAGGAAATTGAAAAGAAAATGTAATTCTATTGTTTTTCGGTTGTAATTGACAATTTCATGCTATAAGCGGCTTCAATATTACAGTGAAAAACTGTTTTAGAATAGCCATTATAAATATCAAGGAAGCAAGATGCCTTATTCTGATCATACTATATTGATCTTGTTTTGTCACAATAAAAAAAGAAAAAGTTTTACAGTAGAATAAAATCTGAAGAAACAATAAGTTTTACTGGAAAATTATTTAGTGCTCATAATTTTTAAAAAAAGAAAATCAAAATATCGGTTTGTATTTATTCGTTGTTTTTGTTGATATTTTCTTTAATTTTCCAATTACACCAAATATTAGTAAGAGTATTTTGATATAATAATAGTTAGACAAAACTGGCATGATCTTCGACTGTTTATTAGATAAACAATCAAAATATCGTCAGCGAAATAAAATAACTTGACAATTAGAAACAACATCCAAGTAGAAGTTTTAATTCTCAAAAACAAAAAAAGAACAACCAACAATAAAAATTAACTGGATTAATTCAAGTCAATAGAAAGAATTATTCATGTCAAGTATATAATCATGGAGCAAAATGACCTACTAATTACAAAGTTTCAAGCTTAGATAGCATGTAATATTAAGCAGTCATGCGGTCTTTGAGACATCGTATGAGGTAAGTAAACCTGCGTTCTTTTCTAATAGAACCTTCTCATTGAAAACTTATGTTTAGAATAAGAATTTTTCATAGTCGTATTTTTCAAAATAAATGATATTTTCCTTCCCTCAAAATACAAACTATTATTATTTTTCATAGATAACATCCTCTAGATATTTGTCAAATCATCAATCATAGTAATTTCAAGCTTCTTTCTTCATAAAATATATAAAATGATAGATTAATATAAGATGATTCAATAAAAAAAATCTACAAACTCATTTCGTTCTCAGCTGTATATAAACATCATTCGTTTTTTTTGTTTCCATTAAATTTTCAAACTGTTTTCGAAATTAAATAAAGAAGAAGTAATTCAAAGACAAAAGAATGAATTCTCACTAGAAATCCTCAATCCCTATTTAAAAAAGACAAGACCGATGAAGACACTCACTGATGAGAATAAGAGAGAGTACAATTAACACCATTGACATATGCACATTCAGCTAAGAAAAAAGAAAAAGACGAAAATTTTCTCAATAAAGAAATGAAAAGAAAAGAAGAATTAGACAACAACAAAAGAATAGTGATGACTACTGCAGATCGACTCTAAGGAATTATGGCATCCTGATATCGTTGTCATCCACGTTATAGAGATACACATGATCTGACCGACTAGAGAAAGATATAGAAAAAAAAAAAGAACAAGACATTTGTCACACAAGACACTCGATCAGTCATTATAATCGACAAACGAAACAGCAGTACAAGTCAAAAAGTATTAGTCAAAGACAAAAAAAAAAAGGAGGCAACAAGTCTTTTAACAGTAAATTTTGTTTGTTTATATATATTTATAAATATGTATATGAATATTCATATGACCGTACATTTGCTTTTTTCTGCCCATGGATTATTTTTTTTATCCGGTGGATGAATAAGCGGATCAGCTTGTTCGTTTTCTTGTATATACCGTTTCAATCTAAACAAAAAAAAAACGAACGTAATAATAACATACTATAAATGCTGAGTAAAATAGTTTACTAATCAGTAAAACAATAACTTTGAAATCGTATACCTTTTCTTTCTCATTTCTTTTAATAATTAAATACTACTTACGAAATCAAATAGAAAAATATAAAAAATCAATAGTGAAAAAAAAAAGAAATTGCCTCGATGCAGACACTTCTTTTTAGTCATTTTATCTTTGTTAATTTTTGACAAATGTTCATTAAAGCAAAAAAAAACTTACTCTTGAAGTGTTTTTGATAGAGGTACTTTTTCCACTCGTAATTGATATCGTAACGATTCAATTTGTTTTTGTAATGAGCCTTTATCCATAGTTTTCGTTTTTTTTTATATGGAAAACTAACTTTTTCTAGTCGTTGATAGGCTGATTCTTGGATTACAAATAACGTACCCAATAAATAATATAAAATGATGATGGACAAACACACGCTCCCGAGTGAAAAACACAGAGAAAAAGAAAGAAAGAACGGGAAGAGAAAAAAAAGTAGGGAAGAGAGAGAACACAACAACAGCGGCAATAAAAACTACTGTTTGTATGTGGATATATATTCTGGAAAAAAAGAAAAGAAAAGAATAGAAGCGTCAGCTAGCAAACAAAACATCGAGCAAGTTAAGCACGCGAAAAAGAATCGGGCAACACATAATGTTACTCGTATATCTATGTGTATGTGTGCATATTGCAAGAGAACGAATAAAGCCCGATGGGAGAGAAGAAGAAAAAGAGCGGCGATGCGCCACTATTGCCACTCAAATACACATAGACTATGAACGAGCGCGTGACGCTTCTTTTTTCTCGCCCCTTAGTGTTTCTTACTACTACTGCTTTTCGTCAAGATTCTATTGTTAGTCGTTCTTTCTCTCCCTCTCGTTCTGTCGGCCTATATTGTAGTAGTTCATCTTCACTATCTTTTCTTCCTGACGTCGTTGCCGTCGGATTGCCTTTAATGTGCGACGGAAAAAGAGGAAGAAAGAGAGAACGAATAATATCTAATGACGCCATACATGCTTCTAATAGGCGCGTTTTTCTATGAAATATGCATTTAGGATAGTCTTGATCAGACTAAGCCAAAAGACGGATGTCAATACGAAAGAAAAAGAAAAGAAAGAAAAGAAAGAAGAAAAAAAATAGAAAAATAATTTACTCACTCCATCAACGTCCTTGATAGCGGAACTCGATCGACTTTTAGTTGTTGCCGAAGATTTTCGACTTGTTTCTGTAGTGTAATATTATCCATCAAGAAATAATAATCTTCAATTGATATAAAATATGTTAAATAAAAAGAGGAAAAAGAAATATTTAATCCAAATCAATTAAATAAACTATGATTATTTTATTATATTTGAAATAAGCAAAAAAATTATATAAGCGATAGAAATAAAAATATTCAATAAATAAAACAATTTACTTTATTAACCTGTGACATGTTTTTTTTATTAAACTAAAAAAACTTCTCTTTTTATATTAGTTTATTATTATTTAATACGTCGTCAACTCAACAAATGTTTCTAAATCAGAAAAATGCACATCATATTATTCTCACAGACTGTCAGAGAAGAACCTCTAACAGACGCTTGTGCATTGCAATAAAAAGTTCTTTAATAAATACTAATGCCATAACATAGACGACTAGTCGACACACTCATAATTTCATTAAAAAAATTCTTCCCACGCTTGATCACGTTTTTGTCTTACCATTATCACTTTTTCACTGTGATATTTCTATCGATAATAATAATAATAATAATAATAATAACATGAAAAAATAACATTTGTGCTGTTCGATACTCTCATGTATACGACATACACAGATACAAAATATAAAAAAAAATTGTCATAATGTGCCCTATCTAATGATAGCGAAAAAAACGAGCGAAAGACGGCGAGAAAAAAAAGAAGCGGAAAACGGCTTTTAGTCAACTCATATAACAGTGCACCGCTATCAAAAAAGAGAAAGAGAGACAAAGTAATAACGAGACATGAACTAGCATGGCTCTCCCTCTTTCTCGTTGTGCATCTTAGCCGAGAAAATCAAGAGGATGGTTGAGCGCACTGCTGCTTAAATATCAGTCTTTCTATATTTTTTTTCTTCGCGCAAATATAACACAATCAAAAACAAAAAAAAATTCTTTTCTTTTTTTTTTTTTCAAAAAACAATTAGAAGATTTGTTGTTTATTTTTAATGATACTTTTTATTTCTTTTTTGTAAATAACAAAAACAAATAATAAGACAAAAAAAAAACAAAATGTCTTATTAAAACAATTTAAAAATCTAACTCATCTTGTTCGATGTTTGAGTTAGTTTTATTATCATCATCATCATTAGTGTTAACATATTGAGTAATACGTTCTTTTGCTCGATTGATATCTGCTGTTGTACCATATTGTTTTTCAAATTGAAGATATCTTTTAATTAAAAATTTCATTTTCTTTGGTGGAATATTTAATGAAAGTACTCGATCAAAAATTGATCTAAACCGAATAAATAGATGTAAAATAACATGTGGAACATAAAGAATAGACTTCTCAGTAACCTTTTAACATAATGGGACAAATTATGATTTTTTTTTGTGATAGATTTCTCGTTCGATTCTCTACAAACTTGCATCTTTCATTTAAACGAAACACCATATCTCATTTGTGTGGATCTAATGAAACGAACAGTTCACTTTCAAGATTCTTTTTCTCTTTTTTTTTTATTAAGCTTTTTGCATTCGTCTTTGTGAGTAATTTTATCAATCTTTCTTTTATTCATAGAATATTTTAATTAATTATCAGCCCGAAATTAACTCCGAGGAAGTCATCAACAAGATCGAAGACTTAATTATTATTGTTAATCAATAAGATAGAGATTGGTAAAATCTCTTTGAAACTTTGTATAGATGCCCATTTTGTGTGTTCTTAAACTTTTGGTTCTATAGAAGGAAACGTTGCTTTTTTGAAAGACAAGATATATGAGTACTTTTTTTAGATACGGAAATACCAATTTCCTTTATGAATAATCAAAGGCGAAAGAATGCTGAGCATGCCTATATGCATCAAGTTTCATAGGAGTTGTGCCAATTTCTCTCTTACTGATTAGTAATGATAGTTAAGTCTTCGATTTTTTTAATGACTTCGTTAGAGTTAGTTTCACACTGATAATTAATTGAAAGAAAGATTGATAAAATCATTCACAAAGACAAATACGAAAAGCTTGATAGGAAGAAAAAAGAATTTTCAACGTAAACCTATCCGTGTCATTGGGTCTAAACAAATAAGGTGTACTATTCTGTTGGAGTAAAAGACACAAAGGACAGAAACACAAAAGAACGCATTCCTGCTCTTTTTGATTTTCAAGGTTCAATCTAATTGGGTCATATATACAATAAAAGATCATGAGTTCTTGATCATTCGATATGAAATAGGTATAAATAGGGTGTAACTTTAGGACATACTAAATGGGCATTTAGTTATTTATACTAGCTTGCTATGTAAATATTCGTTTGACAGAAAACAAATAAAGGATGAAGAGTGATTCAATGTTATTCGAATAGGCCTTTTTTTTTAGAGAGTACATTTTCACAATGGAACTATTCATTTGAAATAATGTTTTGAATGTGAAATACCCATGTGGATTCTATTTGTCATTTAATTATTGTGTTAATGAAACTTTCTTCATACAGAACTCATTTCGTAATCGATAGAACTTTTCAAATGCTACAAAAAAAAATTACTTTATACAGTCTAAAAAACGTAGACTACATAATAAAATCCTTAGTTCGCTATTCTTGAGATCTAATTTCTCAACTGTTTCGACTGATATGTGACGATTTTCAAGCAGAATAACATTGAATCACTGTTCATCGTGATTTGTTATCTGTCAAACAAATGTTCACATAGCAGATTAATATCAATAACTAACTCATCCTGTATACAGAATCCAACAAGACATCTATCAAAAACAAAACAATTGTCCCGTTATGTTGAAAGATCCATTCTTTGTAGACCACTCGTGAGAATATGTTTATCAAATACCTTGCAGCAACTAATGGATCTGTATCATATTTAATTAACATATCAATATAAATCGACCAGAGATCAGTACGTTTTGGATAACTAGCAAGTAATTTTTCATAAACAGTCTTAGCACGTTCTTTATCACCATATTTAAATTCTAATTGACCAAATTTACTAATCATATCAACATCTAAATAAAGAAATAATTAAAATAAAATTTTCAAAAAGAAAGGAAAAAGTAAAAAAAAATTTTCATACGATCTGTTGATGGTAAACTTGAAAATGATTTATCAAGTATTGCTTTTGCTTGTTCAGTTTGATGACGTCGAAATAAATACATAATGTATTCAAGCCATGCTTGTTTATCTTTATTAAATTTTTTTATTAATAAAACAAATGTAGCATTAGCATCCTAGAAAAAAAAAACGAAAATTTCATAAAATAATTTTTCAAATGATTGAAATTTTCTTTACTTCAAACTGTTCGTTTTTTTCATAAACATCACAAGCTAATCGTTGATAAACTTTAATACCATCACAATTACCTAAAGCCCGTGTTAATATTATATTGACTTTTTCTGGTGTACCATAACGATTTTCAAGTGCTAGATAAGCAATCCATAGGTTTAATTTATCACGTTCCTCACTAAACAAATACATATTGAGTCTCGAATAAAAAGAAAAAGAAATTAAAATTCTTACCGATAGAAAATACTAGCTAATGCTCGTTCAGCTAAAGTTCGTGCACGATCAATTTCAGCTTGATCAATATAAAATTGCATATATTCAATCCATAAATGAGAATCATTAGGTGCTTGTTTAACAAGTTCTTCATATTCTTCTTGTGTACGTTGATGATTATTTGATGATGAAATATGTGATTCATGTTTAGTTTTTCTTAATGAAGAAATAGATTCATCCATTTGTTCAACATCATTATTATCAATTGATGGACGTAATGTTGATAAATCTTCATTCCAATCAAATTTTAAATCATTACCAAGAGCAATAGGCTTTATCGATTCATCATCTGTTTTCAATCGTTTGACATTTAATTCTTGATCATTATCATCATGATCATCACCGCCGGCAATTGAACCATTCTAAATTGAAATAGCATTATTCAATAGAGATATTTACTGAAATCAATTTTTTTTTCGAAATTGATACAAACAAAATTGGTATAGATTATACAGACACGATTGGATTTTAAGATCTGATCTCGGCTAGGTTTACTACTATATCGTCAGACGTAAAATTTTCAACATTGAGTCTAAACCAGTCAGATCGGCATGAGTTTTTTTTTCACTTTTCTT